CTATCAAGATAGTGAGACTCATGCTGTATGTGGGCATAGTCATAACAGGCTGCTCTTTTCAAGTTTCTGCCTGTTGACATACCCTTTGTCAGGGAGATGAAGTGCTAACGGAACTTCTCGTTTCTTATATTTCGCATGTCATTATCACTTTTGGGTTTATTGTGACTGATTTGCTGTAAGGTGTGTGTTTCTGTGTCTACAGGAGGGCTGGTCTCTGTTGTGTCACCTGATTGAAATATGCCCCAGCACTTTGGAGCAGCTAACTAAACCCCTGCAGGAGGCTAAGGAGTGGGAGATACTGGCTGTGCACCAGTAAGTGAAAACACTGATCCTCCTACGGATATATTCAAGTCATTCCACAGAGATGCACCCATTCTGACATGTCATAATGTTAACAGCTAGTTTAGTTTTAGTCATGAAGCACCTGACAGATAGGGACTTGATAACTGAAAGGCTCTGCCTCTTAGTCTATTTTTACAGACTACAGTTCTTCGAGGTGACAGAATCAGTGATTTAAGGGTTAAAACAAATCACTGATCATATTAATGTTATGGCTGTGTTATTACGTATTTTCCTCATTTTTAGTGGGTAGAATCACTCATAGCTTTAAGGCAATCAGACATCAGCAAGGTTAAGTTAGTCGTTTGTACTTCTTATCAATGGATTACAATTAAGTTTCAGGAACAAAATCAATTAGCTAAATACAGATTTCACTTCCTAAAGACTATAAGAAAATTTAGGTCCTATTGTTTGATGAGATAGAATACTACTCTGCCTTTTGTCTAGCATTTTTCCAAACAATTCAAAGCATCAGTCAACTTGTCAAAGGTGTTTTTTTTGTTGTTTTTTTTTAGATTTTTTTGGCTCTAGTGGCCTTTAATGACAGTAGGTTGACAGGAAAGGGGGCATATATAGAGAGGGGGAGACCTGCGGGAAAGGGCCGTGGGCCGGATTCGAACCCACGGCCACCCGCTTACGAGCACAGGCTCTGTATATGGGCCGCCCGCTCTAGCCATAGGAAGGGTTATTCTACAGCACATTTTGTGTACAGGACGATTCAAAGCGCTTCACAAAGAATTTAAAAGCAGAGAAACAAAAAGATAAAATGACTCAACGCTTAGAAAAGTTAGCTAAAAAGTGAAGGGTGCAGATAAAATACATCCCGTTTCCACGTGCACAGTTAAACAGATGTTTTCCGCTGGATTTAAACATTCAGAGTTGGGTTCTGTCTCACGTCTTCAGGAAGACTGATCCAGATTTGAGGAGCATAAAACTGAAATGAAGCTTCACCTTGTTTAGTTCTGACTTTGGGCCCCAGCAGGAGACCAGAACCTGAGGTATCAACGCTAAACCACCCTCACTAGATCTTCTCCCCCTCGCCTTCACTCGGTTTCCCAAGATCTGCCTACGCTTCCATATAAAAAAAAAAAATCTAATCTTTTTACAGGTTTCAACACAAAGATGAACGAATCTGAGTCTTAGCCCATAAGAACCCAAAGTAATCAGGTGGAACATCGCATTCAAACTTAAATGTATCTATTAAAAATGGCCGATGGAGCTTCTGGAAATCACAAATCTTTCACATTTTGTGGTGGTCACTGATTTTTTTTTAAATGTGATAAATGGGGTTCAGTTTTTCAGTTTTCAATACCATATCATTTCTCTTGAGGGAAAATGGGTCTGGGCTCTTTTGGGTCAAGGAATAAAGACAAACATCTTTCTCGTCCGATGCACTGCAGCTCTTTTTGTTTTGTTTGGTCTTTTAAACCCTGCAGCGTCAACTCTGTGAAACATTTCAGGAAAACGCTTTTCCAGGAGCTGTTGGCAGCGAAGGGGCTCGGCTCTTCAGCACAGGCAGAACATTTTCTGTGAATCCTTTTCTGAGCAAACAGCCACACGTGTTTCTGTTCTGGTTGCTTACCATGATGGAGACGTAGTGTCTCCAGTGACGGGGCAAGGGGCCGTCCAGCTCCAGCAGAGCGTGCTGCGTCCGCAGGAAGCAGCTGAGGTAAGCCGGGTGGAGCGCCAGCGCCATGGTGAGGTGGTCGACCCGGCCCAGAGACAGAAAAGACTCGATGAGGATGTCCTGCTTCGGCCCCTCCGCCAGCATCTGAGCAGAGAAGACCAAGAACAAAAGGCGCATTTTAAGTCTCCTCCCTGCCAATCAAACTAAACGTGTCCTCTTTATGGGGGTTTTCCATAAAAATAATCCCTTTTTATGCTCTAAATCAGCCATTCTGTTGAACAGAACGTCTGCAAAGCTGATGCAACTCTGATTCCTCCAGTTGGGTGGAAATTTTGAGGTGAGTCACCGAACCGCCACCGGCTCTGGAACAGCAGTAAGCGGCTGTGAAGGCTGGAGTTCCTCCGACTCGGCTGATTCACATCGATCAGAGAATGAAAGTCAAAAAGAGACGCCAGCTCACAGAAAGAGGGCTTCTTATTAGGGCAGGCAAATCCAATTTTACACAGAATAGTTCCCTTTAAATAATTAACAGTAAAACAAATAGATGTCATATTTCTGGAATATATCCATATTATTCATCTTCTTAACTCAGTGTCACTAAAACAGCAACATCTAGTGATACAAATATTGGTAAACCTCCCTAAAATTCAGACCTAAGGGGATGTGAACTGGGGGACTTATCAAAACCACACATAATAAAGTAAAGCATACCTCTTTAGCAGGAATAAAAGCACTTGGACCAGACGCCAAGGCTCGAGGAACCTCCACCCCTTCCTCCTGGAGATGAAGAAGAAAGTTAGATAGCATTTAGCAGCGAATCAGATTATTATTCAAGCATTTCTTTGGTTTATCTGAAATCAGAAGAAAGAAAACAAATCTCCTCAGATGTTGTTTTGTCTATACTGTTTTTCCACTGCTCTGTTCTGATTGGCTGGAGCCCCATCACAGCCTACAAACCCTTTTTAGAAATGACTGAGGAGCTAAAACAAGGAAGACTTCCGTCAACCTGCAAAAACAGTGAGCCAAGATGTTTTCTTTAACACCTGTTCAACGACTGTCAGCGTTCAAAACCTGGAAGAAACCACGACGCGTTTTACTGATCAGAAATCTACCAACTACATTTCAGAAAGAACTGAAACCACGCATTTACAGATCGGTTTCTCCAGAGAAACCATCCCCACCGTGCAGCCAACCAGACGGACTCTGACAGCAGCAGCTGGCCGGTAACTGGACACCAGCTTCTCAGCCACATGGCCTCAAAATGCACAAACCAGGAAAACGCACCGACATCAGAGGACCCAGAGCGAAATATCTACGAGTCGCAGCGGGTTACTTTCGACTCAAATGAGATAAGTAGACGTTCAGGCCGGTCTGCTTTGGTCTGTCTATGTGCTGCATAGCACTGTGATGGGAGGGGAAGGGGGGGGGGGGGGGGGGGTGTTTTTTAGCCTGGAGGGGGCGTGTCCGGCCGGCTTGCTTGTGCACACCGCGGCCGGGTCTTGCATCACCTACAGTGAGAGTCTGATGAAACATCCTGCAGGCTACAGGCAACAAAAACCCCCATAAGCTGATCGCTGACGAGCGAGATCCATTATCGGACCCTGTCGACCAGGCGTCTTAACTTTAAGGCAAACGAAAGCAAAAGCATGAAAAACAAGGCACCCACCCCCCTCT